ATGATGTTCCCGGATACGAAACTTGTTTACCTGGAAGATTTTCACTGTCTCTGTGTGTGCTGCCCCCTGCAGGTCAGTGTGATGAGTGACCATCAGGCAGCGTCCAGCTCTCCAGACTGCCCTCAGTGCCCCCAACACATCCTGACAGGGGCAGAGGCGGCCGTGTCCTACGCCCAGTTCTGTGAAGCATTTGGCTTCTCCGTGGGGCCCTCGGGGGCCAGGGCCCTGCTGCTGTTCTATGAGCTATGGGGCCCCAGTGGGACCTTGGTGCAGAGGGGCCAGGCCAGCAACTGTCTTGCACAGGGTCAACACCCTGAGCCCCTGCTGTTTGACCACCAGGGTGAGTCAGAGTCAGTCACTCATACTCTTAATGTAAACTGTGTAGCAATGTCGACATTGTATGCATTTACTGCAAGGCTCTTGTGTGTGCCTCCCCAGCTACCTGTCCTCAGTACTAGAAGTGTGTGAGGAAGTGAGCTACATCATGCTGTACTGTAACTACACACCATGCCAGGAGTGTTGTCAGACCATGGCCTCCTTCTTGCTGCGCTACCCCTGGATGCGCCTGGACGTGCTCTTCTCCCAGCTCTACCACACAGCCCCCAGCCAGCCCTACAGTCTGGACAACCAGACAGGCCTCCGCAGCCTGGCTGCCCTCTGGCCTCGTCTCACCCTCAGCCCCATCTCTGGAGCCGCTTGGGGGCATCTGCTAAGGTGTTTTGTTAGAGATGTCCCACCGTCGGCCCTACAGTTCCCCCTGCTGCCTGAGAGGGTAGAGGCGGACAGGGTTAATGCAATTCAGATATCAGATATCACAGGCATAGGCCCTGCCTTTTTGGACCTCCCACTGAGGACAGACACAGAGCATGTGGAGAGAACCCACACTCCCCAAGCTCTCACCCTGCTCCCTCCCCCACACCTGACCACCTCCATGTGCATCTCCACACCCCACCCCAGGGTAGTTACTGCCCCTCTCCCAGCCTATCTTCGCCCTATCAATGTGGTCAGACATGTCAGGATGCCTCCACCTTGGAGGGGCCCACCCCAATCTCCTCGCTCTTCCTCTGGGTTCTTCTCCCCCCTGCTCTCTCTGCAGCCGCCTGGGCGTCTGGTGGAGATAGTGTGGGAGGTAGAGAGGGAAGTGCGAACAGCAGTCAGTCAGTCCCAACACAGAGACTCCAAAAGAAGAAGAAGATCCAGACGAAAATAGTGCAGGGGAGTCACAACACAATTCTCGAAAATGAAACTGTCATGTGCATAATATTTAACTAACAATAATTAATGAATGGAGTTGATGCCAGCTCTGTTTTGCATTGTGTGCTCTGTATACTCTGTTTGTGCTGTCTGTGTTTGCTGTGTGTATGTGCTTGCATGCGTACCTGTCTGCCTACCCGTGTAGATGCACCCTGTTTTGGCACTGCGCTAGAGGCTAGAGGACAGGAGGGTGAGAGGGGGGAGGACTCTGCATGTGTGCGTGAGTCGGATGCTCAGAGGGGCACAGGGACCTGGAGCACACTGGAGATTACTACACACCCCCTATCCCACCCAGCCTAGCTCAGCACTGCAGCCCATAGCCGGACAAACAAACAGAGAGAGAGAGCTATCTATCCAAAACGGAAATGTATGGGTAAACCACTTCTCCAATCTTTTTGGCCCTATAACAGAGAACAAACAGCAAAAAAATATACATGATCAAATGCAAATCTTAGAATCAACTATTAAAGACTACCAGAACCCACTGGATTCTCCAATTACATTGAATGAACTACAGGACAAAATACAAACCCTCCAACCCAAAAAGTCCTGTGGTGTTGATGGTATCCTCAATGAAATGATAAAATATACAGACCACAAATTTCAATTAGCTATACTTAAACTCTTTAACATCATCCTTAGCTCTGGCATCTTTCCCAATATTTGGAACCAAGGACTGATCACCCCAATCCACAAAAGTGGAGACAAATTTGACCCCAATAACTAACGTGGGATATGCATCAACAGCAACCTTGGGAAAATCCTCTGCATTATCATTAACAGCAGACTAGTTCATTTCCTCAGTGAAAACAATGTACTGAGAAAATGTCAAATTGGCTTTTTACCAAATTACCGTACGACAGACCACATATTCACCCTGCACACCCTAATTGACAAACAAACAAACCAAAACAAAGGCAAAGTCTTCTCATGCTTTGTTGATTTCAAAAAAGCTTTTGACTCAATTTGGCATAAGGGTCTGCTATACAAATTGATGGAAAGTGGGGTTGGGGGAAAAACATACGACATTATAAAATCCATGTACACAAACAACAAGTGTGCGGTTAAAATTGGCAAAAAACACAAACATTTCTTTCCACAGGTCCGTGGGGTGAGACAGGGATGCAGTTTAAGCCCCACCCTCTTTAACATATATATCAACGAATTGGCGAGGGCACTAGAACAGTCTGCAGCACCCGGCCTCACCCTACTAGAATCTGAAGTCAAATGTCCTCTGTTTGCTGATGATCTGGTGCTTCTGTCACCAACCAAGGAGGGCCTACAGCAGCACCTAGATCTTCTGCACAGATTCTGTCAGACCTGGGCCCTGACAGTAAATCTCAGTAAGACAAAAATAATGGTGTTCCAAAAAAGGTCCAGTTGCCAGGACCACAAATACAAATTCCATCTAGACACCGTTGCCCTAGAGCACACAAAAAACTATACATACCTCGGCCTAAACATCAGCGCCACAGGTAACTTCCACAAAGCTGTGAACGATCTGAGAGACAAGGTAAGAAGGGCCTTCTATGCCATCAAAAGGAACATAAAATTTGACATACCAATTAGGATCTGGCTAAAAATACTTGAATCAGTTATAGAACCCATTGCCCTTTATGGTTCTGAGGTCTGGGGTCCGCTCACCAACCAAGAATTCACAAAATGGGACAAACCCCAAATTGAGACTCTGCATGCAGAATTCTGCAAAAACATCCTCCGTGTACAACGTAAAACACCAAATAATGCATGCAGAGCAGAATTAGGCCAATAATTATCAAAATACAGAAAAGAGCCGTTAAATTCTATAACCACTTAAAAGGAAGCGATTCCCAAACCTTCCATAACAAAGCCATCACCTACAGAGAGATGAACTTGGAGAAGAGTCCCCTAAGTAAGCTTGTCCTGGGGCTCTGTTCACAAACACAAACAGACCCCACACAGCCCCAGGACAACAACAACAACAACACAACTAGACCCAACCAAATCATGAGAAAACAAAAAGAGAATTACTTGACACATTGGAAAGAACAAACAAAAAAACAGAGCAAACTAGAATGCTATTTGGCCCTAAACAGAGAGTACACAGTGGCAGAATTTCTGACCACTGTGACTGACCCAAACTTAAGGAAAGCTTTGACTATGTACAGACTCAGTGAGCATAGCCTTGCTATTGAGAAAGGCCGCCGTAGGCAGACCTGGCTCTCAAGAGAAGACAGGCTATGTGCACACTGCCCACAAAATGAGGTGGAAACTGAGCTGCACTTCCTAACCTCCTGCCAAATGTATGACCATATTAGAGACACATATTTCCCTCAGATTACAGCGATCCACAAAGAATTCGAAAACAAACCCAATTTTGATAAACTCCCTTATCTACTGGGTGAAAAACCACAGTGTGCCATCACAGCTGCAAGATTTGTGACCTGTTGCCACAAGAAAAGGGCAACCAGTAAAGAACAAACACCATTGTAAATACAACCCATATTTATGTTTATTTATTTTCCCATTTGTACTTTAACTATTTGCACATTGTTACAACACTGTATATATACATAATATGACATTTGAAATGTCTTAATTCTTTTGAAACTTCTGAGTGTAATGTTTACTGTTAATATTTATTGTTTATTTCACTTTTGTTTACTGTCTACTTCACTTGCTTTGGCAATGTTAACACACGTTTCCCATGCCAATAAAGCCCTTAAATTGAAATTGAAATTGAATTGAAATTGAATTGAGAGAGAGAGGGGGGCAGGGTGGGGTGCAGCACAGGGCAAACAAATAGGGAGAGAGAAAGGAAGGGAAGTGACAGAATAGAGAGAAGTGGAAAGGGGGAAACGAGGAGAACAGGAAGAGAGAAAAAAGGGGAGAGGGGGACAGGGAGAGGGGGACAGGGAGAGGGGGACAGGGAGAGGGGAACAGGGAGAGGGGAAGGGAGAGGGGGACAGGGAGAGGGGGACAGGGAGGGGGCAGGGGAGAGGGAAAGGGAGAGGGGGATTAGTAGGCAAGTGAGGGTTGACAGGGAGAGGTGAACAGGGATGGAACAGTGGAACAGGGAGATGGGAACATGAGAGGGGAACAGGATATGGGTGAAAGGGAGAGGTGACAGGGAGAGGAGGGAAGGGTCGAGGGGGACAGGGAGAGGGAAAGGAGGGGGGCGGAGGAGGAGAGGGGGACAGGAGAGGGGAAAAGGAGAGGGACAGGGAGAGGGGGACAGGGAGAGGGGAACAGGGAGAGGGGAGGTGAAGCAGGGAAATGCATGTGCCAGAACAGACTGGGATGAATATTGCAGACTTCATCTGAGCAAACTGATGTTATGTCTGCTCTATCACTCTCTACACTCCCCCTTGCCACCCCCCTAACGTACTGTACGTGCACGCATACACACACACACCCTCACATATGTACAAACAAATACAGGTCAAGTATGTAGAAAAGTAGACAGGCCAGTTCTCCAACTTCCCATACAAACATATTATTTATAAAGCTGAACACATTAATATTTCAAATATACCAATCTCATTACAACCATACCCTGCACACTCCAAACTAAACTATGAAGTCATTTGGTGGTGATATAAAACAAAATAGGAATGAACAGATACACAGAGAAAGGTAATACATCAATGTGTGTGGTCAGCAGTATTTCCTACCTGAGTGCGTGTGTAGAATCCCTCCATCAGAGAGACACTAGCATTGTCTGCTCTGCTGCATAGAGGAGGAGGAGAGAGAAAGAGAGAGAGAGAGAAAGATGGAGGGAAATCTCTTAAAGATATGCTCTCTTCATTTTCTTGCACTCCATCATGTGTCTGTTCTGTTGTCTACTGTCGTTTGACACATTCAGCTCTGCGATGCCTCAGCCTCTGTCCAACAGCAGCAGCAGCAAATCAGAACCACTCGGCCCCAGCTTTATCTTGCTTTCACACTGCATACGTACACACTAACACACAGTACAGAAATCACACACTCTCTCTCCTGTCGTGCTCCCTCTCCAGCTGCAGTGCTGAACTACTGACTCACACTAACAGCTGCAGTGCCGCTCTGCACCTCTCTATTTTACGTCCTCTGTGGCCATCTATCTGCGTGCATGTATATGTGTGCCTGTGTTCGTGTGTCTTTTGGGTGAGTATCTTCATGTGTGCTACCTGACAGCACTTTATAACTACAGCTTGAGAGTGAACCAAAGTATTTTAATAAACATAATTCAACCTTGTACTCTATGGTCATTGGTCATTGAATGAAAAGGGGACTCCTATTAAATGAGCCAAGCTGTTGTTGATTTAGTCAGACATTCCCCTTTTGTACCATCGGCATCCCCTGGCTGGTTGTCCTTCGCATTCAGATAATAACTCTAATCAATGAAGATGTGCAGTGTCACTCACAACCAGATAAAAGGTAGGATATAAAGTACATTATAAACTGGGTGGTTCGAGCCTTAAATGCTGATTGGCTGAAAGCCGTGGTATATCAGACTCCAACCATTTTTTTTACTGCTCTAATTACGTTGGTAACCAGTTTATAATAGCAATAAGGCACCTCAGTGATTTGTGGTATATCGCCAATATACCACAACTCCGCGTTGCATCGTGCATAAGAATATGCTACACCCCCTCGGTCCTTATTGCTTAAATAATCCAGGGTTAGGGTTATGGCTGGGGTTAGATTTGAGCCAGGGTGTGGACATGGGACAAGAGGAAAGTGTGGAGAGACATGGCAGATAACAGTCAACATGGCTCAACCCTAACCCTAACCTGCCAAATGTGGCTCCTCCTACCCCTCTGAATTCCAAATTGAATCCCTTCTCATGACCAGCAGGTGGCGACATGGCCTCTCTTTCTACTTCAATAGAAGGAGATTGAGACTCAGGGACACTGTCAACACAGACAGACAGAATATCAACATGTTCACAGGTATTTTCGCAGTTAGTTAAATCACTCAGGCAAACAAACACCACCCTGGGCCCTCATAATAGATAGTTACTGTTTGTGTATGTTTAGAGGTGTGGTTCTGGTAGTGTAGGCTACTGTGGCCTCCTCCTTATCCTCCTCCTGTCCAGCAGTGGAGGTATTCAGGGCTCAGAAGCAGCCTTCTCCATATCCACCCTGCCTGTCTCCTTATGGAACTCATGTGTCTCGTAAAATCATCCTTTCTGGACAGTTTCTCCTCTTCTATCTCTCCCTGCAGGCCTGAGCCTCATTGACTGATTCCTCTACAGACAGGAACAGTAAAACCCAGAGAGGAATTTCCTATAACCAGACCATGGTGCACACCTGGGATAGAACATAGTGTACTGAATACTGAGCTGAGTGTCTACCTGTTCATACATACAGTGCACATGCTTTACCCCCAAGCCATAAGACTCCTGAACAGCTAATCATGGCTACCCGGACTATTTGCACTGCCCCCCCCCCCCCCCCACCCCATCTTTTTACGCTGCTGCTACTCTGTTAATTATTTATGCATAGTCACTTTAACTCTACCCACATGTACATATTACTTCAACTACCTCAACTAGCCGGTGCCCCCGCACATTGACTCTGCACCGGTACCCCCCTGTATATATAGCCTCCCTACTGTTATTTTATTTTACTTCTGCTCTTTTTTTCTCAACACTTTTTTGTTGTTTTATTCTACTTTTTTTATTAAAAATAAATGCACTGTTGGTTAAGGGCTGTAAGTAAGCATTTCACTGTAATGTCTGCACCTGTTGTATTCGGCGCATGTGGCCAATAAAATTTGATTTGATGATTTGATTTGACTATGACTAGGGCCCCAAAAACTGTGGGCACCAACTAAATGCGATTTACTGTACATGAATCATGTTCTAGAGTGAAATGTTGCCGTCGACCAAAGCTGAGTCTATGCTACAGACAGTAAGGTTGACATGACAAGGTTGTGGGAACAGTGCAGTAATTTAGGTTAGTGATACAATTGAAATAACAGCAATACATGGCCTAAACCTTACACCATAGTCGTTTCAAACCCTGTAGCCATAACAGAGATGATAGCAGGAGATATGGCCCAATCACAAACAAACTGCAGAGTGAATGAAAACACAGATTTGGCCCACCACCATTACAGATAGATGAAAGGCCAGGTTCAGCTCAGCTCAGTGTAAAGCCAGATGAGTGTAGTCTGAACAGTGTGTAACAGGGCCAGCCTGCTAACTGCTACCACAAGGTCACAGTATCTACAGGTTTACAAGCTGACTGTCTCAGGGGAACACTAGGCCTGTCCTCCACCATCTCTGTCCTGACCTGCTTCTTAGAAACAATCTAATGGCAAATTATTGTGACAGTGTGTGTGTGTGTGTGTGTGTGTGTGCGCGCTCTTGCATGTGTGTATGAGTGTGCATGTACATGTGTTGAGTGTGTCTGGTAGTGACAGTGATATGACATCATAGCAACTGACAGCACTCCTGGGTATACTTTGTCGGCTTCCGATCATGGACAAACACACAAACACCAGCATGCATGCACACATATACACGCACACAAACATGCACACACATGCACACACATAATACACACACACACACACATACACACGCAGAACGTGATTTCAGACAGCTGTAAGGTTCCTTTATTCCCTGGGCTGCCAATAAAGCACATGTTATTTTTAAATTACAATAATCATCCTTTTTAATAATACAATAAACATTGATTTGTGAGTTTTATCTCTGCACTGCCAACAGCAATATCTGTCTTCCACATGTTGCAGTCTCAGTTCGTCCAGTCTCTGTCTCTCTCTCACATCGTCCCTGCATGGTGTGGGTGTTCAGGTCCCCCCAGTCCTTCTCTCTGCGTCTCTCCAACGTCTCTCTCTGACTCTGTGTGTGTATATGTGTGTATGTGTATGTCTTTGTGTGTGTGTGTGTGTCAGACTGTAGAGTGCATGGGAAATAAATAAATCTGCGGTCCTGGGCCCACTTCCTCAGTGCAGACCACTCCGCCCCTCACCAGGCAGCCAAAGGGATTCTAATCTCAGCCTGCTATTATGCTATTAGCCAGCAGATAGCCAATGAGAAAAAGCACTGAGCGGAGCGGTTGACTGTGTATCCAGTTGGATGTGCGTGTGTGTGTGTGTGTGTGTGTGTGTGTGTGTGTGTGTGTGTGTGTGTGTGTGTGTGTGTGTGTGTGTGTGTGTGTGTGTGTGCGTGCATGCACATGAGTGTGTCAATGTGTATGTCCATGAGTGTGTCCATGTGTGTGTCCATGTGTGTGTCCATGTGTGTGTCCATGTGTATGTCCATGTGTGTGTCCATGTGTGTGTCCATGTGTGTGTCCATGTGTGTGTCCATGTGTGTGTCCATGTGTGTGTCCATATGTGTGTCCATGTGTGTGTCCATGTGTGTGTCCATGTGTGTGTCCATGTGTGTGTCCATGTGTGTGTCCATGTGTGTGTCCGTGCATAAACACGTATACAAGTCTCTATCTCTTCCTTTTCAGAGTTCGTCTCGTGTGGAGCGGGCGGCGGGCGGAGGTGAGTCTCCCGTCACACTGTTCTGGGCCACGGTGTGGATACGGCCTTGCTGCTCTGTCTTCCTGGTGTGCTCGTGCAGGCGGTCCCAGTCGGTGGCGGTGGCCTCGTCGTCCCAGATGGTGGAGGTCTCCGTGTCACTCACGTAGCCCGGCTCGCCTGTGTAGTGGGTGGGGTACAGGAGGAGGGGCTCCACAGAGAAGGCCTTCAGGTCCCGAGGCTCAAAGTGAGACATGAAGTCAGAACTGATGGAGAGAAGGGGAAAGAGAGGAGGGTTCGTTGACACGTCATCAGAGAGCATCACACACTGAGGGAGGGAGGAAGACACAGTAAACTGTCATCAAAGTGCATTTTGTGCACCATGCAGAATGATACAGGGGCACAGAAAGGAGAGGCTCATATATGGTAATTCAGCAATGCTGAATCAGCACCACTTGGTCAAAGTTAATCATGGACTCTTGGGCAGAAAGACACACGTCGACATTTCATCAAAGTGAGCCAGAGAGTGGCAGAGGTGCAGAGAGGAGAGAGGAGCGACACGTCCGCTTCAATCAGTCAGGCCCTGTCAGCCAGAGGTCAGCTGGTAGAGGTCAGCCCCCCCTGTGGCCGTTTAGACAGTGTCAGCACTCAGAGAGAGTGTAACCTAACGCCTGAATTTCTGCCCAGGGAGGTGAACCCTGAGAGAGACTTAGTCTGTGTTTAATCCTCCCAGCCTCAGCACAGAGCAGGCAGAGGAGAGACTGCAGGGCATCCGTTGGGGGGGTTTTTTTGGGGTTTGTGGGGGGCCTTTTCCGGGGGTTCCAGGGTGCCTGGGGGCCCTTTTGGGCCAGGGGGGGGGCCGGGTCAGTTCCATCCCCCGGGTCGCTCGTTGGGCGGGGGGGGCGGGGGGGGGGGCCCCCCCCGTTTCCCCCGGGGGGGCCCCCCCCCCGGGTGGGGCCGGCGGCGGCCCCGGGGGCGGGGGCACGCGCCCAAAGGGGGGGCCCGGCCTCAGTCCCCCTCCCCCGTGGTGGGGGGGCAGGGGGGGGGGGCCCCAGGACCTCAGGCCGGCCAAAGGGGGGTGAAGTCAAAAATTGGGGAAGGAAGGGGGTTCTGGTCCTGGGGTCCACCTGGGGGGCCTTTTTCTGGGCCTTTGGCCCCTATCATTCCGGGGGGGGTTTTTGGTAGCGAAGGGGGGGCAACCCAGGGGGTAAAAGGGAACATGGATTTGGGCGAGAAGACAGTCGTTTAAACCCCCGGGGTGGGGGGGGCAGAGGAGAGGGGAGGCGTCCCACGTAAGGCGCGGGAGGTGGGGTGAGGGCCCCCCCGGGGCTTAGCAGGGGGAAAGGAGAGGGGGGTTAACAAAGGAGGAGGGGGGACCCTGAAGCGCGGATAAATTGGGGGGAGGGGGCAAGAGGGTGGGGGGGGGGGGAGCAGGGACCAACCGCCTTTCATCCAATTGAAGGGGAAAGAATAGGCGTGGGAGGCGACCCTTGGGGGGGGGGTTGGAGACGGAGGCAACCGTACTAGGCCTAGCCCCACTTTTGGGTCCCCCGGTTTTACGGCCTAAATTAACGTTTCCAATTGTCCGGGGAAAACCGGTTCCCCCAACGGAGGGGAAGGCGCGGTTTCCCTCCCCCCTTCACTTTCCGACAGAGAGCGAGCGAGAGAGAGAGAGGAGCGAAGAGGATAGAGCGGAGCGAGAGGAGAGAGATTAGAGAGGCGAGAGAGACGAGCAGAGAGAGAGAGCGAGAGAGATATCTTAGAGCGCGGCTCGCGATTCTATCGCTCTCGCTCTCTCTCTCCTGCGAGCTCCTCTTTTTAGCATTCTCACACAAAAAATTATCTGGTCGTATTTACATAGTAATTCATACTCACACACAGACTTGCACACACTCATACACGCACGCACACACACGGATACACAGACAGATACACACACAGGGATACACACACACACCCTATAGAAAGGAGGTCAGTAGTGCTGAACGATTAACTGAAATGTCGGTTATTTTTCCGTTTTTAAACAACTAATTGACCAAAGTCGGTTTAATTATTTGAATTACATTTCAAAGAATTCTGAGTTCAAGGAGCACATTGCGCTGCAGTTTCTCTAGAGATAAATCAGATTATGCCAGTTCTGTGCGATGTAGTAGGGAGTTGTAGTTTCCAACAGGCCATACTGTAGTTTTACATACTGTAGTTTAGCACAGAAAACTTGATAATTAACTACAATGACCATAATCCATTGCACGGCTACTTGTCCAGTCTTTTTCTTTTACGCCTGCTACATAAGGGAAAGAAGAATGCGCGATCAAGAGGGTACAGATAGAGAGCAGTTTCTTCGTGATCTAAGTGATTAATAGTTGGTATTCAGCAGTCAAAAGTATGCCTTATTTACTTGAAGAACTACACAAAATAGGTATTTTGTCAGACAGCATTGGCAGCAGCTCTATAGAGATGAGATGATGACTTAGAATGAAATAATAAAGTCTTCAAATAAAACAAATGTAATATACACAACAACTGAAATATTTTTATTAAAGTAAAGTAATGTGAATAACTGATGGTTAATAAGTGATAAGCAGTAATGGACAGTCATTACCATCATGGGACTTTTATTAATTGTTTTATTCTGTGTTGTTACAGCTTTCAACCCACATAATGCATACTGCATAGTGAAACCAAAATAATTGTTCAATAATCGAACTGAAACGGAGCCGACCTCAAAAAGCACTAATCAGCACCAGAGGACAGTGACCTAGCAGTGTGGTGCCAGGACAACAACCTCTCCCTCAACGTCAGCAAGACAAAGGAGCTGGTCGTGGACTACAGGAAATGGAGGGCTGAGCACGCCCCCATTCACATCGACGGGGCTGTAGTGGAGCGGGTCGAAAGCTTCAAGTTCCTCGGTGTCCACATCACTAAGGAATTAACATGGTCCACACACACCAACACCAACACCAACACCAACAGTCTTGAAGAGAGCACGACAACACCTCTTCCCCCTCAGGAGGCTGAAAACATTTGGCATGGGCCCTCAGATCCTCAAAAGGTTCTACAGCTGCACCATTGAGAGCATCTTGAATGGCTGCATCACCGCGGTGTCAGAGGAAGGCCCTAACAATTTTTTAAGACTCCAGCCACCCAAGACACAGACTGTTCTCTCTGCTACCGCACGGCAAGCGGTACTGATGCACCAAGTCTGGAACCAACAGGACCCTGAACAGCTTCTACCCCCAAGCCATAAAACTACTAATTAGTTACCCAAATAGCTACCCGGACTATCTGCATTGACGTATGTGATGACTCTTTTGACTCATCACATACGCTGCTGCTACTGTTTATTATCTATCCTGTTGCCTAGTCTCTTCATCCCTACCTAGATGTACATATCTACATCAATTACCTCATCAATTACCTTTTTCTTTTGTTTTTCTCTCTGCATTGTTGGGATGGGCCCTGTTTACGAAGCATTTGACAAATAAAAGTTGATTTAATTTAATTTGATTTGACACACACACACACACACACACACACACACACACACGTATTTATATAGTAATACACACATCTACACACAGTCTCCCCCTGTCCATCTCTCCCCACCCCCATACTCAGCTCTGGATCAATGGGAATCCTGTCCCTCTCGCCAGCAGCAGGAAGAACCATTCCGGCCCCACATTCCTCCGAGAGGCAGAGTGAGGGAAAGAGAGAGGGAGGGGAAGAGAGAGGGAAGAGAGGGGAGTACAGAGGGGAAAATGCAAAGAGGGGTAGGAAGAGTGAGGGAAAGAGAGGGGGGGAGTGGGAAAGGCGGAGAGGGTTAGGAGAGAGGTGAGAGAGAAAGAGAAAGCGAGGGGAAAGCAAGGGAGGGAGGGAGAGAGAAAAGGGGCGGGGGAGCAAGGAGAGGCAGAGGGCAGGGTGCAGAGACAGAGACAGAGACAGAGACGGAGACGGGGCTGAGAGGTGGGGGGAGGGGTAGAGCAGGATTTCCCCAGGAGGAAGCAGACAGAAAGGGAACCATTGTGTGTCCTACGAGGGACACCGTACACATTGATCCCTAGGAACAATCCATGGCCTGTGGGTTAGGGACCCACTCCATACAGGAGAGAACGAGGGGGAGACAGAGGTGAAGAAAGAGAGAGAGAGAGAGAGAGAGAGAGAGAGAGAGGAGAGAGAGACGAGAGAGAGAGAGAGAGAGAGAGAGAGAGGAGAGGGAGAGAGAGAGAGAGAGAGAGAGAGGAGAGAGAGAGAGGAGAGAGAGAGAGAGAGAGAGAAAATGAGGGGGCAAGAGGAGAGATGGAGAGGGGGGGAAAGGGGTTGAAGAGAAGGAGTGAGGGAAAAAGACGAGGAAGAAAGAGGGCAGGCTGGTGTACCTCTAAAACACCAATAAAGAACACCACTCACCATACCACAGAGTCTATATGGAGGCTCTATAGACACGTGTATTTTTGCCTATGTATGAATTATTGTCCCTCTCACCATTTTAGTTCTAATTGGTTGTCTAGTCTGTTTCTAGTGTCTGTGTTTGTCTGTCTGACTTTGACTGTCTAAAAGTTAATCTGTCTGCATCCTCTCCGTGTTTGTTTCTGCACTCCTCTGCATAAAATGTAAATTCTGTTATAAATGTAGATGCTAAAATAAGTCTGTCCTTAATGCAGATGGTATCTCAATACAAGTCTGTTTATCTTTCTGTCTCTAGCTGTCTTTCTATGCACTTCCCTGTCCCCCTGTCTTTCCCCCTGTCTGTACCCTTGTCTTTCCCCCTGTCTGTCCCCATCTGTCCCCCTGTCTGTCCCTCTGTCTGTACCCTTGTCTGTCCCCCTGTCTGTCCCCATCTGTCCCCCTGTCTGTCCCTCTGTCTGTACCCTTGTCTGTCCCCCTGTCTGTCCCTCTGTCTGTACCCTTGTCTGTCCCCGTCTGTCCCCCTGTCTGTCCCCCTATCTGTCCCCCTGTCTGTCCCTCTGTCTGTACCCTTGTCTGTCCCCCTGTCTGTCCCCCTGTCTGTCCCCCTGTCTGTCCCCCTATCTGTCCCCCTGTCTGTGTCAGTCTCAGTCTCAGTGCAGTCAGCCAGTCACTTACTTGGGGTGTTTGTTGAACATGACAGGGAGGAACTCATCGACAGGTAACATCTTGCTGAAGGCCTGAGCAGCCAGCAGCTTCCTGGCGCCCTGCGCTGATAGGGCATAGCCCAGTGTCCAATAGGAGTAGTCAGCCTCCACCAGGTTATTAACCCCTTCCACCGAACGCTCCGGCTGGCGCACCTGCATACGCTTACGCCCAACATAGCTACAGGAGAGAGAGAACGATAGATGGAATTAATTATACATAAGCACAAAATGTATAATTACACATCATAACAATGCTATTTGTAGACTTGTTTCTTACATGAGATCCCAGTCCAGCAGGGCCTTCTCTACTTCCTCCATGATGGTGATCATTCGCCTCTTAAACCTGGGCTCAAACCTCACGTCATCCTCCAGCACCAGCACCTTGGAAAGACCACGCTCCGCCATCTGACAACAACACAGAGAATAGGCAAGAGGTCACAAATACGCAAGAGGACACAACCACTGAGAGGATAGGGGATCTCCATCTATCGTAAGGATAGTATGGTTAGTTCAGCGTACCTGTACCCAGGTGGAGTGGTGGCTGAGGAAGCAGCCTATCTCTCCTCTGGTTAAAACACGGCCAGAGTATGGGTCCTTATAACCTGGAATCATCTCTATACCCAACGCATGCAGCTGAGAAGTGTTCAGAGCCCTGAGAGAGAGATAATATTATATACATTAAATATAATATTACGCCATTTAGCAGACGCTTTCATCCAAAGCGACTTACAGTCATGTGTGCATACATTTTTACGTATGGGTGGTCCCGGGGATCGAACCCACTACCCTGGCGTTACAAGCGCCATGCTCTACCAATTGAGCTACAGAGGACCACAGGGAAGGAGAGCGACAGAGAGAGAGAAAGAGAGAGGCAGAGAGGGATTGTGATCGATGAACAGAGAACTAATTTAAACCATAGTGTCCCATGCAGCTGTGCAGTCCTGTGGCTGTGTGTGTGTGTGTGTGTGTGTGTGTGTGTTAGTGTGAGAGACCTACTTGCCGTCCACTGCGTCAGTGAGGGTGGCCTGCAGACCCAGAGAGGCCATGGTGCTCAACATCCGCTGTCTCCTGTCCAGACGACGTTTCAGATTGATCAGGAAGATCTGATACGAAGGGAGGGAGGGAGGGAGGGAGGGAAGGAAGGGGGAGAGAGAGGGAGCAATCAGAGTAGGAAGGCAGAGTTGGAAGGAGGGGGAGAGACACGGGGGTAATGGATGAAGGAACAGAAGGAAGTAAGACCAGGAAAGGGAGGGGGAGAAATAAATGTCACATCAAAGAATGATGGATGAATTCTCAATATAAACAGTTCCTCTAAACCAGGGGTGGGCAATCATTTATGCTCGAGGGCAACATCGGGATCTCAAAACTAAGCGGAGGGACGCTGAGATTTTTTTCGGACCGATTTCTTCGGCAAAATCAATTTGCGGGCCAGAAAAAGGGCAGTTATTTGAAAACGTTTAAGTCCATTATCATTTTAGACATTCAAGAGTGGCCAGGATAGTTTTTTTTAACCCCAAATAATAATTCCCACCTCCCAAAATATGTATATATACTTAAACCTCCCCCGGGCCATATTGAATGGTCTCGCAGGCCGGATCTGTATGTTGCCCACCCCTGCTCGAAACAGTCAGGGCCAGTGTCATACTCTACCTCATCAAAGCCCATCTTGTCCTGCGGCATCTGGGGATTGTACAGGTACTCTGAGGGTGCTATGTTGTGGTCAACTGTAAATAAAGACAGAGGAGTCAAAGTTAGAGTTAATACAGAGTTAATACAGCAGAGTGGGATCAGAGAGAGTATTTCCTCTAGGCTCAAACTGGTTTATTTACCATTCTCATAAGCAGAGAGAGGCACTGTGGGAGAGCTGAGGGAGGGCGAGGAGGGGGAAGGGAGGAAGGAAAGAGAGAGAGAAATAAAGAGTTAGCAGAGAGGAAGAGGCGAAGCGAGAGGGTTTACTCTGCCCTAAGTCTGTCCACGAAAATAATACTTTTTGTATGGAGGTCAACGAGAGAGTGTCGAATTTGGTCAACAAACTTTTTTATTGCTAATTTTCTACGTGAGGCTTATTTGATCTAATAGAAGTTTCGTAATGGTTAGGTTGTTACGAATGCACTGATATAAATGGACGCAAGTGGCATTTCAGCAACTTGAAAGAAACAACTTTATATCGGAGTTGTGCCTGTTGTTCACACACATATCTGCCCTCGCATTGACTAGAATGGTCCCAACTGATCTCGCCTCCTCCAGCATTCCATCTTTGAGGACATGTATTTCCATTGTTAGAGCGGTCACTTGACTATCTTGTCAATATAATAGATCATCTTTGGAGTTAGTAAAGCACTGCAGCAGGCCTGAGACAGTTCTATAGGTAGAAAGAAGTAGTGATGGTCTATAGATACCCAAAAACTATTAACTGCAATTCTGGTGAAAAGCATCAGGTCAGGGTTAAGGATAGGTTTTGGCTTAGGCCTTAGGGTTAGGGTTAGGGTTAACTTCAGGGGTAAGGCATGGTTCAGTGTTAGTGGACCATCTGTAGGGGATTCTTTGAAGTCTGTGTTACCAGAGAGTTTGTGATGTATTGGCAGGGAGGTCAGAGAAGAGGGAGATAACAGAGATGAAGCAGCACTTTGAAGGAAAGATCAGACAAAGTAATGTAAGGTGTTTATTTTGATTTAGAGAGTAGTGTGTGTGTGTCATCTGTGTGTGTGTTTGTGTTTGTCATCAGTGTGTGTGCTTACTCATGGCCTCAGCGATGGTGTGTGTGAAGCTCTCCTTCTCATCGTCAACATTCTGCGAGGCCTTCAGAGGAACCGGCAGGAAGCCATAGTGCTCTCTGTTACACACGTACATCTGCACATCTGGAAACAAACACACAGTCACACAGAGTTCATCAAAAACACACTGATACACACATAAACCTGGACATCTGGAAACAAACACTGCTATACACAAAAACACTAACATGATCGTATCTGCGAAGTACATGCTGGTAGACAACCTACAGACTCACACAGCTAAGCATACACAATGTCTCATATAACCACAGTATTTAAAGGAAGATACAGTAAGCACAAGGATATCAACTGGAATATACAACCAATGGTCGCGCTTCCCGACTGGCCTTGGGATTTGAAGCAATCCACAGCTATTTTTTGGGAGAGGCTGGTGATCCTCTGTGGCTGAATCATGCTCTCTGGTGTAGTGTTTTGAAGGATTTTATTTGTTTTTGTGTAGACAGGAGTAGTTGTATGGTTTTGGCGAGTTCAATTCTGTTTACTTTGGAAGAGGCTTGGCCTCACCTGTCCTATTGGACTCCTATGGTTTTGTGTATAAGTAACTTAGCTACTTTAGTGTACATACATACCATGTCTACACATACGATTTCTACATGTTCCCATTCAATAACATGTACCATTTGTGGGTATTAGGGCCTCTTTTGAATGGTAACTAAGTACTCAATGTCTGACAGGTTCAATCACTCATGATCAGTATCATTCTGTGGTCACTGGTCATCATCATATGCCTTTAGCATTTCAGATGGATACAGATAGTATTGTCTCAGTTATTATCTATGCTTAGAGCACGTCAATGGTTGTATTGAATTGTTTAATGCCATAACCAATGGAGGAAACACTTAAAGAACATGGCCGTGTGTGTGTCAATGTGTGTGAGAGTTGTGTGAGCGTGAGTGTGTGTGTGTGTGTGTGTGTGTGAGAGAGAGAGAGAGAGAGAGAGAGAGAGAGAGAGAGAGAGAGAGAGAGAGAGAGAGTGAGAGATGTGAGTGAGTGTTTGACTTTATTGTGTGTAAGTGTTTGTGCATTCCTGTTATGTGTGTAATAGTTCTGCTTGTACCTTACCAATCATTAGCCACATCAAATAATTACACACATTCAGTCAAGTCATTAAGTCACACATCTGATTACCCAGCTTGCCTTGTTTCCCTCATTGTAAAACATGCCTTCTGCACAAGACATATAGAACTACTCTGAGAACTACTATAAGACACAGAACTAGCCTTATTCTCCCCTAGCTCATTTCCTGTTGGATTTGACAGATCTGAAGAAATCGCATAGGTGTAAATATTATAGCATGAGGTTCCTACAATATCCCCTGTGCCCAAATGGAAGGCTGGGTGGAGCCATAAGCACTTTGATTACACTTTTTTCATCACATCTGTGGTGGTGGTCGGGGCTAGGGTTTGTTTCTGAACCAGGCTATATGACTCTAAGCTTACACAGTTGGTGCGTGGGTGGGGTAGCTATAGTGTGAGGGCTATGTTTTACAACACATCCAATAACATGGACTAGGATGTTGTTTCTGGGCAGGATCATGGTGACCACACGTGGCGGAGTTGGAGGGATGGGGGGCGATTGGCGGTGGGGGTGTGGGTTGAACTCTGACCTGCCTGCCGGGCAGAGAAGGAGAACACCATGATGTCATCAAAGGCCCAGCTGTAGTCAGGGTGAGGGGGGTAGAAGGCCAGCTCCCCGCTGGCGTCACGCCTCAGGTCCAGCAGGAAGGTAGAGTGCACCATGGGTACAGCAAAGCAACCCAGACGCTTCCACTCCCTGATTGGCTGGTAGTCAGGGGTACGTTTGTAGTAACCCTGGGAGAGAGATGGAGAGAGAAGGAGGCAGAGAGAGATTTTAAAATGAGAAGGGCTGAGGGGTACAGATGGTCATTGGACTGACTTTAATTGTCACAGTGAAGAGGTGACAAAGAGAGTAGTGAGGTGGTCTCTATTTGGCTGTTTACCTGTGGGGTGATGCCACACCAGAAGTTAGAGTAGAGAGAGCGTGACTCCAGCATGGGAGCCACCAGAGTCAGGTTCTCAGCCATGAGCAGGTTGAGAATCTTTGGGTTGGTCAGCAGGTTATCACTGTCTGCAAACTAGATACAGAGAGAGACAGAGCAGGATACCGTATAAACGCACAGAATGTAATCGAACAAACATCTAATATTGCAGGTATACAATCTCACGCAACCGTAGACAGAGTGAAAGCAGGTATCATCATTCGCATAAAATAATGCCGCTAACTAATGTTACACTGAAATGTAACACATGTAATCTCATAGGTATATTATGAACTCTGTCTCACCAGTATGTAATCTGCCCAGCGTTCCCGTGCTGCCTTAAGAGCAGCCTGCCTCAGTTTCATCACATGGTTGAATCGGGACGGAGGCCAGTGCTTGGGCCCCCACTCATCAGTATAGGACCTGAGGACAGGACAAAGAGCTTTACTTTCAGTGTCTCATATTCACCACGCACTGATGAGCAGTGAACTTCAAAGATGTAGAAAATTAAGGAATGTGAACCAGAATAGATGGTGTGGTGAGATGCCCTGAGGCTGGGGAGAGGGTAAAGTAGACTTACTTGGGCTCCTCCATAGGTCTCCACTCCACATAGTGGTACTGGTCCTGGGCCTGCTTCAGCCACTCCCTCAGCATGGCTGTGCTGTTGTCCACACTGTGGTCTGTCGCTGCCCTGAGACACAACATAGCATGGGACACTATATTAACACAACACAATGCACAAACAAGGGAATGAAGTACCAACTCACTGTAGCCCTTTCCTGCAGTCAAATGACCAAAACCCCCTCTAGTGGCCTCATGGGTGGAGCGTTATTAATATTTTTCATTATTTCATAACTAATAAACATTATTTCAAAAAACCAGCAGAAAATCTGGTGTTTTTATGTCAAACGGTTTTGTTATATTTCAGTCTTCTGTGATGTATATAAAGTGTAATATTGTGATGCAAACTCAAAATTGAATACATTTCAACTCTATATCTGACATGATACAGGTATATACTGTATTCTATTCTACTGTGTTTTAATCAATGCCACTTCGACATTGCTCGTCCTAATATTTATATATTTCTTAATTTTATTATTTTACTGTTAGATTTGTGTATTGTTGTGAATTGCTAGATACTACTGCACTGTTGGAACTAGGAACACAAGAATATCGCTACACCCACAATAGCATCTGCTAAATATGTGTATGTGACCAATACAATTTGATTTGATTTGGCCTTCTTTTTTAAGCCCATAACCATGTGTGTGAGGTGTATATGTTTGTTTCAAAGTAGATGTATTTAAGACTACCAAGAAACACTGTGTGACCCTGATTTAGCCCACTGCAGTATTAACAAACCGTGATGAGAGTGTCTACATAACATATCAAGGTAATGTGTCGACATGATACAGCAACATGATGATGCTGATATACTGTGTGTAGGATCAAAACACGCGCACAAACGCGCACACACACAGTGTCCTGTGTAAATCAGGTATGGCAGACAGTTTGGAACGCTATAAGGTGGAAAGGATGCAAGTACAAACCATAGAGAGTAAGAAGAACAACAAACAAACAGGCCAGAGTGTACAGTAAAGTACTGCAGCAGGAACACCTCTATCCTCCTTACACACACTGCTGCCACTGTCTGCACACCGTGCGCCTGTCCTCACACACACCTACCCTAACTCTGTCCCAGACTCATCCAGTCACACATTCACCCTCACGTTCTCACCCATGCTATCACACTATCACTTCTACAGAGTTGTAGCCTTACAGTAATAGCCTTTGGCGTTGAGAGGGTATCTATAGCATAACTTCAGCATAACCAAGTAAATCTAACCTGCTTCCCTCTCTCTCGCTCTGCATCCAATACAGTATGTGCTTAATGGGGGAAAGGTCAATAGAGAGAGAGCGAGGCTAGTGTATCTGTAGAGGTCGCTGTGCCACTGCTGGCACACACACGCACGCGCACACACACACACACACACACACACACACACACACTGGAGTTTTCCACTGCTTGCTGTAATATTCCTGGCCGTAACCTCGCCAGACAAACTCATACCCTACTATGTTAGAGTGCAGACAGATCAGAGATAGTAGTGTATAAACACACATTTTACAAAACCGCTGCTAACACTGTCCACCATGAGATAACACTGTAGACACAATTCATTACACACACTCAGCTCAGAGATAAAAATATTGACTTCTGTGACACACACACAGCTCCAGAGAGAGAGAGAGAGAGAGAGAGAGGGATAGACAGAGAGGGATGGAGAGAGAGAGATCTCTCAGTAGACAGTTGTGACTTCGTATTAACAGCTAGACACTAACAGATTTCCAGACAGACAGTGCCTGTCCAGCTGGAGAGAGAACGTAGGCCTGAAGGACCACAGGGGTAATCATGGGGTTAGTAACAGCCCTTTCACAACGTGTCCCAGTGTGTGTGTTCGTTCATGTTTGAGCCTGTGTGAGGAAGTATACAGTGCCTTCAGAAAGTATTCACACCCCTTGACTTTTTCCACATTTTGTTGTATTACAAAGTGGGATTAAAATGGATTTCAAAATTATAACATTTGTAAAGAATTAATGAAAAATAAAACACTAATATATCTTGATTAGATAAGTATTCAACCCCCTGAGTCAATACATGTTAGAATCACCATTGGCAGTGATTACAGCTGTGAGTCTTTCTGGGTACGTCTCTAAGAGCTTTGCACACCTGGATTGTACAATATTTGCACATTATTCATAAAAAAATTATTCAAGATCTGTCAAGTTGGTTGTTGATCATAACTAGACAGCCATTTTCAAGTCTTGTCATATATTTTCAAGCCGATTTAAGTCAAAACTGTAACTAGGCCACACAGGAACATTCAATGTTGTCTTGGTAAGCAACTCCAGTGTATACTTGGCCTTGTGTTTTAGGTTATTGTCCTGCTGAAAGGTGAGTTTGTCTCCCAGTGTCTGTTGGAAAGCAGAGTGAAACATGTTTTCCTATAGGACTTTGCCTGTAGCTCTAATCCATTTATTTGTATCATATAAACACCCTACTCCTTGCCGATGAGAAGCATACCCATAACATGATGCAGCCACCACCAGTGATGTGTTATGTTGAATTTGCCCCAAACATAATGCTTTGTATTCAGGAAATAAAGTTAATTGCTTTGCCACATTTGTTGCAGTTTTACTTTAGTACCTTATTGCAAACAGGATGCATGTTTTGGAATATTTGTATTCTGTACAGGCTTCCTTCTTTTCACAGTGTCAATTAGGTGTCAGGGCGTGTGTAGGTGTAGTGTAGGAAATCAAATGCAGGATGCAGACGGTATGTTCCAAACGCTGTATTTCTGGCCCAACACAGGCAACAGGACAACTAAGCCCGACAGCTAAACTACGCACGAAGGCGAAAAGGCAAAATGCGCACAAACAGGTGCGACAAAACGATGTGGTGCACAAACAAGTGCAACTGAGCTCCAGCGCAGTGGAGAAAATATGCTCAACCGAGCAAAACACAACACTGACGAAAACAATCATACACAACACCTGACAAACACAACGAGAAACTTATAGGACACTAATTACGTAAAACAGAAACAGGTGTGAAACAAACAGACAAAAGCAAATGAACATGAAACATCTATCGGTGGCAGCTAGAATTCCGGAGACGACGAGCGCCGAAGCCTGCCCGAACAAGGGGGAGAGGCAGCCTCGGCCGAAACCGTGACAGTACCCCCCCCTTGACGCGCGGCTCCAGACGTGCGCCGACTCCGGCCTCGGGGACGGCCAGGGGGACGCGGCGCAGGGCGCGTCGGATGCCTCCGATGGAACTCCGTCAGGAGCGACGGGTCCAACACGTCTCTCCTCGGCACCCAGCACCGCTCCTCCGGACCGTACCCCTCCCACTCCACTAGATACTGGAGACCCCCCATCCGACGTCTCGAATCCAAGATGGATCTCACGGAGTACGCCGGTGCCCCCTCGATGTCCAACGGGGGCGGAGGAGTCTCCAAGATCTCATCTTCTTGGAGTGGGCCCGCTACCACCGGCCTGAGAAGGGACACATGGAACGAGGGGTTAATACACTTATACTCCACAGGTAGCTGTAATCTATAACAAACCTCGTTCAACCTTCTCAGGACTTTAAATGGCCCTACAAACCGCCGACCCAGTTTCCGACAGGGCAGGCGGAGGGGCAGGTTTCTGGTAGAGAGCCAGACTCGATCACCAGGTGCGTACACCGGTGCCTCACTGCGGTGGAGATCAGCGCTCGCCTTCTGACGTCGGAGGGCCCGCTGCAGGTGGACGTGTGCAGCGTTCCAAGTCTCCTCCGAGCGCCGCGCCCACTCATCCACCGCAGGAGCCTCGATCTGGCTCTGCTGCCAGGGTGCCAGAACCGGCTGGTAACCTAACACACATTGAAATGGGGTTAGGTTCGTGGAGGAATGGCGTAGGGAATTCTGGGCCATCTCGGCCCAGGGAACGTACCTTGACCACTCCTCCGGCCGGTCCTGGCAGTATGTTCTGAGAAACCTACCCACATCCTGGTTTACGCGTTCCACCTGCCCATTGCTCTCCGGGTGGTAGCCCGAGGTGAGGCTCACCGAGACCCCCAACCACTCCATAAACGCTCTCCAGACCCTGGAGGTGAATTGGGGACCCCGATCAGCCACAATGTCCTCGGGCACCCCGTAGTGCCGGAACACATGGGTAAACAGTGCCTCGGCAGTTTGCAGGGCCGTAGGAAGACCCGGCATGGGGAGCAAACGACAGGCCTTAGAGAACCGGTCCACAACGACCAGGATGGTGGTATTCCCTTGGGAGAGGGGAAGGTCTGTTATAAAGTCCACTGAGAGGTGGGACCATGGCCGTTGTGGAACGGGCAGGGGTAGCAACTTACCCCTAGGTAAATGTCTAGGCGCCTTACACTGGGCGCACACCGAGCAGGAGGAAACATAAACCCTCACATCCCTAGCCAACGTGGGCCACCAGTACTTGGCACTAAGACAGTGCACTGTCCGGCCGATACCCGGATGTCCAGAGGAGGGGGACGTGTGAGCCCAATAGATCAATCGATCCCGAACCTCGAGCGGAACGTACTTCCGACCCTCCGGGCACTGTGATGGACTAGGGTCGGTGCGTAACGCCCGCTCGAGTTCAGCATCGACCTCCCACACTACCGGTGCCACCAGACACGACTCAGGCAGTATGGGAGTGGGCTCCACAGACCTCTCCTCCGCGTCATACCGCCGAGACAGCGCATCTGCCTTGCCATTCTGTGACCCAGGGATGTACGTGATCTTAAACGTAAACCTGGTCAAGAACATACTCCATCTTGCCTGGCGAGGGTTCAGCCTCCTCGCCGCCCGGATGTACTCCAGGTTACGGTGGTCCGTCAAAATGAGGAAAGGGTGTTGAGCCCCCTCAAGCCAGTGCCTCCACACCTTTAGAGCCTGTACCACGGCTAACAGCTCCCTGTCCCCTACGTCATAGTTCCGCTCCGCCGGACTGAGCTTCTTAGAACAAAAAGCACAGGGGCGGAGTTTAGGTGGCGCGCCAGATCGTTGTGAAAGCACGGCTCCTAAACCGGCCTCCGACGCGTCCACCTCTACTTGGAACGGCAAAGAGGGATCCGGGTGCGCCAGCACCGGGGCCGAGGTAAACAGGTCCTTCAACCTCCCAAAC